TTCTTTCATTGCTGTTGTTTTAGTATTTGTAAATGTTTGTGCTTGTCCTGTGTTTTGGGAGCTCTGGTGGCATAGTGCCTAAGGCATTTGACTGCTAACCAGAAGGCTGGAGGTTCAAACATGCCAGCCATTCCTTGGAAGGAAGGTTGGGGAATCTACTTCCCTAGTGATTCTGCCTCAGAAACCCAAGGAGGGGTTGGATCTGACTCGACAGCAGTGAGTTAGTTTTTTAATTGAGTCCTCTTTTTTGTTGTGATGCTGTGGTAGTTAAGTTTGTGTGTCAACTTGGCTGGGCCTGGTTGAATGGCTGGGCAGCTGGATATAGTATTGCCCATGCTGAGACTGGTAATCAACTCCATGGTAGAATTGACTGTGAGCAGCTGAGTAGCTGCCTTAGAGATGTGGTCTGCTTCCTGTATATAAGGAAAAGCCTTGGGGAACAGTCTCTAGTTTATGGCATTCTTCAACCCTGCATGCAGCCAAGTTGTTGTACAACAACCTGCCATGCCCTGCTGATTTTAGGACTTCATCTGGACTTGAGCTAGTAGTCTGCCATGTTGTTTGGTAATATTGGGACTTTGCCTTCTTATTTGCCAATCTTGGGCATGTCAGCCTCAGCAGCCAGCAGCTGTCTAAGTGAAGAAAAGCCTCCAGCTTCAGTGGGCTAGGAGCAGAAGGCAGAGTTGAACTGCAATTTTGAGGAGCTTTCACCCAGCCCCTAGAGCTTGACACTTTGAACTGAGACTTCAAGCCTCCAAACTGTGAAAGAATAAACTCCTGTTTGTTAAAGCCACCCTATTCGTGGTATATTCCTGTCAGAGTGGCATTAGCTAACCAAAACAGATGTGAAGGTTTATCATTTTTCTTTGAGGTTACCCTGTGATTTATAATTTTCTCCCCAAGTTTAGAATAGTCCATTCTATTTTGCAACTCTCTGATTTCCTTACCATTTAGAAGCTCTGTAACTACACTATTTTTTCCCTCTTTTTGATTTGTAGTTGTCTTCATTTGCCAATTGATATCTCTGGTTACCTGTTTATAATCTTGTAGCTTATTTTACTTTGGATACTTTCATAACTGGGTTGGTTTCTGGGTTATGTCATCATGTGTGTTAGTGGTCAGTTTTTGTTTGCTGTTATCGATTCTCTGTCCAAAGGACTCCTGTTAGCATTTCTTGTAAGATTGGTCTGATTTTAACAAATTCCCTTAATTTCTACTTACCTGGAAATGCCCGAATTTCACCATCATATGTAATGGACAGTTTTGCTGGGTATATAATTCTTAGTTGGAAATTTTTCTGTTTCAGGATTTTATATATACCCATTGCCTTCTCACCTGCTTGGTTTCTTCTGAGAAATCAGAGCTTGGTCTTCTTTTTGTGCTTTGTAGGTAACTTTTTTTTTTTCCTCATGCTGCTTTCAGGATTCTTTCTTTTTCTTTGGTTTTGGAGAGTTTGATTATGATATGTCTTGGTGATTTTCTTTTGGGGTGTATCCTGTTTGGTGTTCGTTGGACTTCCTGAATGGATATATTCTTATCTTTCATCATATCAGGGAAATTCTCTTCCAACAAATCTTCCACTATTTTCTCTGTGGTTTTATTTGTCTCTTCCTGTCCTGGAATTCTGATTACACATAGGTTATTCCTTCTGATGGTATCCCACATGAATTTTAGGCTTTCTTCATTTTGCTTTGATCTTTTTTTTCTGATTAATCCTTTTCCAAAGAAGTATTTAGGTATTTGTTTTCAAACCTCTAATTCTGTCTTCCATTGATTCAATTCTACTCCTTTGCCCTTTCAATGTGTTATCTATTTCTGAAAATTTAGTATTAATCTTCTGGATTTGTATCTGTAGATTTTGTATCATTTGCAATTTTTCATTTATTTTGTCATTTTGTTCTTATATTGTCTTCTGAAATTGTTCTACGTTTTGTCTGTGTTTTCCTTAATTTTATCAGTGTTTTGCTTGATCTGTCTCTCAATCTGTGGAAAGTATTGGAATATAATTCTTTTGAACTCCTTATCAGGGAGTTCCAGTGCTGCTTCTTCCTCAGGAATATGTTCTGGGTCTGTATCCTGCTGCCTTGCTTCTACAGAATGTTAAAATGGGTGAATCTCTGTACCCAAGGGAAAGGACTCTGCTGAGAAGGGCAGTTCAGTACAATCAATGAGTTTAGGACTTCATTTCTCTATTTTTAATAGCCATTGATCAGCAAAAGCTGAGCCCTTCAAAACATTGCTGCCACATTCAGATTTATGATTGTTCTTGTTTACCTAGCTTTGGTAAACAACATAATGTACATTTACATTTCACATTTCTGGTAGTATTTACATTCCAGGAAGCTTTCTTTGGTTACAAGAGACTTACTCAAGTTATATCCACCAAACAGGGGTTTATTGTAAGGAGGCATATAGGAGCTCATGGTAACCCAAGAACAGGCACATAATACAGCTGGACTCTGTGGACACTGGTACGGGGAGATGGCTTTGAATTCAAATCCCCTTTTGAGATTTCAGCAGGCTAGTTTGTACCCATAGCCTATGGAGTCAGACAAGCCTGGGTTCAAACCCTATCTAGTTTTATCACTTAGTGGCCACATGATTTTAGTCAAAAACTGTTTAATATCTGAGACTCATAGTTTTTAATGTAAAATGAGGAAAATATTGGGATATACCATGTTAGGATACTTGTGAGGCTCAAATGAAATAATGTGTGGAAATCACTAGCATAGCATAATATCTGATTTATATATAAGGAAGTATTGGTTAGTTATCATCTTTATAACATGATTCAGTAATAGTTGTTTCCTCTTTTCATTTCTGCTCTCTCATAAATCCTGTTCATACTATAATGACTCTCTGGCCTCCTCTAAATCATGACTTTCCTGATGTAATTCCTATACTAACTGGAAAATTCTTTCCAGTGAAAGAATCTAATTGCTTCTTCCAGTCATTTGTACTGGGTTGATTGATACACTCAGGATTGGTTACCCTCAGGTCAGGTGCCCATCTCGAATCCAGTTAATTATGGCAAGAGGAGAGAAGAATCATATGACAGAACAATGGTCTCAAAGGCACTGTGGGTACAGCAGGTGTTTAAAAGTGGTTTTGAACATGGAACACACATGGACATGGAACATATATCTAGCACATCTTTCTCTTTAACCTATGAATGTCTGAGGGAGCTCCTCCATGTATTCTCAGTGTTCTAAGGGTATTAACAACTTAGTAGGTGTTGTTGTTGTTGTTGTGGGTCATTGAGTTGGACCCGACTCATAGCGACCCCTCCTTGGGTTTCCGAGGCAGTATAACTATGGAAGTAGATTGCCCAACCTTCCTTCCTAGGAGTGGCTGGTGGGTTTGAAATGCCAGTCTTCTGGTTAGCAGTCAAGTGCCTTAGGCACTACGTCACCAGAGCTCCCACTTAGTAGGTGGTCAGTAGGTGGTCAACGGATATTATTTTGTGAAATGGATGCATGAATGCTGTTTTTATTAGGTATGCCTTCTCTTCAAAGTAGCTCTAGTGTGTGATTTTTATTAAGTGGGACGTATTATTAGTTGTCATCAAGTTAGGTCTCGCTCATGGTGACCTTTTGTATACCAGAATGAAAAATTATCCAGTTTGAACTGCTGAAAACTCAGATAATGGTGTTATGAAATGAAAACATATGAAACAGGCCTACTTGAATGTTTCATTATATATGTCTATCACATTTTCTTCATAAAGCAATTCTTAATTATTTTTATCTCTTTTTTACCTCACTTGGAAAAAGAAAATATATTTTAGTGGAAGAAATAAGGATTTAGAATACAGAACAACTACATTTTCATGAAATAATTTCATTTCTAGGAAAATTATTCTAAACATAAAAGTTTCATTTTGCCAAGAACAGAAATAGGGCACAGATTTCTTAGAGGAAACAAGAAAAACCTAAGGTCTTATGGCTTTTCTTTGGACTACACTGAATTGACAGATTTTCCCCACACTCTCCCAGCTTTCAGCAAGTCTGTCTTTGAACTTAGCCAAAGAAAAGAACATTATGTAGATTTCTAGTGTTTAGTCAGTAGCTGAGATAGTGAACTCAAAGCTCTGTTCTTCTTGGTTCCATCTGAAATAAAGCCTCAGGAATTGATTTACAAAGAGATATAGTTTCCTAGGGCTGCCATAACAAATTACCACAAAGTGGGTGGATTAAGACAATAGAAATTTATTCTTCACAGTTCTGGAAGCTAGAAGTTCAAAATCAAGGTGTAAGCAGGATCAAGCTTTCTCTGGAGGCTCTAAGAGAAGACCCAGAGCCTCATGCATTCTTTGGCTTGTTGCCACATAATTCTATTCTGTGACTCTGTCTGCACATGGCCCTCCTCCTTATGTATCTATCTCTGCCCCTTCATTTTTTTATATAAGGACACCAGTCATACTGGATTAGGGGCCACCCTACTACATACTCCATAGGACCTCATGTTAACTAATCACATCTGCAAAGACTCTTTTCCAAATAAGTCACATTCACAGGACCAGAGTTTAGGACTTCCACACCTTTTAGGGGAACTCAATTAAACCTGTAACGGATGCTTTTGACTCCATAGGATTCAGGTGAGGGGAGGGAGTTGAATAAGTGGAAATTGATTCCTATCACTAGAGAAACAACTTTAAGTTCATGTCTGGCCAAAGGTGGGTGGCAGCCTCATTCTTCTATATAAAGACTATGTATTTCCATTGGGAAATGTGTTATTCTTGAGTTCCAGTTTTCTAGCATCTACATCCAAGGTAGCCCTTCAGTGGGAACAGTTTACTAGAATTAAAAAAAAAAAAAAAAAAAAGTATATATAACAAAGAAAGAATCTGGGAAAGAAAATCAATTAATGTGAGGTGATTGTGCTAAAGTTGCTGTTACCTCATGAGTTCTGAGGGTCATGTCATCCTACTGGACTGTGGGAGAGAAAACTCACCTCTAATATTATGACCAAATCTTTAAAATATGTTTCATCATTTGCAGGCTTATTGAGCAAGTGGAAACTTATTCTTTGTCTTTGGAGGACTCATCAGTGGTGGAACCTAATATAGCAATACAATCTGTTACTTTGTCTTCCGAAGACACTAAAGGGTCTGCAAATGTTCTCTTTTCTGTGTTCAAAGGTAAACTGTTTGAAATAGCAGAGCTCATTCAGTTACAGCCATGAGTAATGTTCTACTCATGAAAATGATTTTTAAATGACTTTTAAAATTCTACTTTCTCCTTCTTATAGAATCTAGCAATTCTCTAACTTATGATTCAACGGCAGTAAATAAAGCAGCAGATGGTCTGAAACCAGATGATAAGATTGAGCTTCAGATCTTTCTCAATGCCAGTCAACGTGAGTCTCAAACTTTGTTAAATTAAAAAATACACTCAAATTCGTAGAAGTGATCATTTAAAATTCACTCAGGTTAGGAGGAATGTTTACTTAATTTCACACTAAATAATTTATATTTGTATAGTTTGACCTCTTACATATTTTGGTAATCTCACCTTTACTAGCTGAAGTCATAGAATTTCTTTTTTCTTTTCAAAACTAGCACTTCAGAGGGTAGCAGAATTGAAATGTTCAGGTCATGGACACATACCTTGTTTTCATACAAAAATCTTGCTAAAGCAGTTCTGCCTTACATTTATACATTTAAAAAATACTCAATCCACAAGCTCTGCCCATAGTTACATGAAACTCACAGGCTTATCCTGTGGCCCTTCCCTTGGAATATTTTATGGAATTGGCTCAGTCCTTATTTATTTACTAGAAGCATTTTTTTAAATGTCTCTAATGTGATGCACACCAACAGCACCCTGTCTTCTTGCATGTGGCCCTTTAGAAGTTTTCATATCTAACGTGAAATGGTTGTACTTTTTAAAGTCTCAAAAAATAAAACAAAAGACTGCATGATTTAAGATGAGGAAAGGTTTGTGTCAGGATTGTGTCCTTTCATTATATTTATTCAATCTGTGTGTGGAGGAATTAAACTAAGAAACTGGACTATATGAAGAAGAGTGTGGCATCAGGATTTGAGAAAGAATTATTAACAATCTGCAATAAGCATATGGCACAACCTTGCTTGCTGAAAGTGAAGAGGACTTGAAGCATTTACTGACGAAGAGCAAAGACTACAGCCTTCAGCATGCATTACACCTCAGTCTACCAAAAAAAAAAAAAAAAACCAAACTCACTGCCCATTGACTTGGATCCAATTCATAGAGACCCCGCCTTGGGTTTCTGAGGTGGTATCACCATGGAAGTACATTGCCCAGTCTTCTTTAGGAAGAGTGACTGGTGGGTTTGAACTGCCAGCCTTCTGGTTAGCAGTTAAATGCCTTAGGCACTTTTCTTCACATAAAGAAAAAAATATTCACAAGTGGACCATTAAGTGACATCATGATAAATGGAGAAAATACTGATGTTGTAAAGGATTTCATTAAATTTTTTTTTTTAATTGTGCTTTAGGTGAAAGTTTACAGAGCACATTCTTTTCCAATTCAATAGTTTGTACATAAAGTGTTTCCTGACATTGGTTGCATTGTCAACACACTCCCTATTTCCACACTGATTTCCCTATTTCCTTTTGTCCTGATTTTCTATCCCTTCTTGCCATCTCATCTTTGCTTTTGAACAAATATCCTTTTCATCTCATCTAATTGATTGTTCTAAGAAACATGTTCCTGTCAGATATTATTGTTTATTTTATAACAATTGACAAGTCTTATTGTTTTGGCTGTTAACATCACATGCAAGTAAAATCTTGCTGAAGATAATTAAAAAATGGTTGCAGACTATATTGACAGAGAACTTCCAGAAATGCAAGCTGGATTCAGAAGAGGATGTGGAACAAGGATATCATTGCTGATGTCAGAGGATCTTGGCTGAAAGCAAAGAATATCAGAAAAATGTTTACTTATGTTTTATTGACTATACAAAAGCATTTGACTGTGTGGGTCATAGAAAATTATGGATAAGGTTGAGAAGAATGGGAATTCCAGAACATTTGATTGTGCTCATGAGGAATCTGTACACAGACCAGGACGCTGTTGTTCGAACAGAACAAGGGGATACTCCATGGTTTAAAATCAGGAAGGGAGTGTGTCAGGATTGTACCCTTTCACCATACTTATTCAATCTGTGTGCTGAACAAATAATCCAATAAGCTGGACTATATCAAGAAAAATGTGGCATCAGGAATGGAGAAAGACTCATTAACAACCTGCAATATGCAGACAACACAACTTTGCTTGCTGAAAGTGAGGATGACTTGAAGCACTTATTGATGAAGATTAAAGACTACAGTCTGCAGTATGGATTACATCTCAACATAAAGCAAACAAAAATTCTCACAACTGGACCAATAAGCAGCATCACAATAAATGAAAAAAGATTGAAGTTGTTAAATATTTCATATTACTTGGTTCCACAATCAACACCAACGGAAGCAGCAGTTAAGACATCAGATGAGCTATTGCATTGGGCAAATCTGCTGCAAAAGACCTCCTTAAAGTTCTGAAGGGCAAAAATAATCTCTTTGAAGACTAAAGTCCACCCAATCCAAGTCATGGTATTTTCAATTGCCTCATATGCGTATCAGAGAGCTGGACAATGAATAAGGAGGAACAAAGAAGAGTTGATGGTTTTGAGTTGAGGTGTTGGCAAAGAATACTCAGAGTACCATGGACTGCCAAAAGAACAAACATCTGTCCTGGAAAAATGCAGCCAGAATGCGCCTTGGAAGTGAGAATGGCCAGACTTTGTCTCAACTACTTTAGTCATATTGTCAAAAGGGACCATTCCTTGGAGAAGCATATCACGCTTGGAAAAGTAGAGGGTCAACAAAAAAAGGGGGAGGCCCTCAAGGAGATGGATTGATACAGTGGCTGCAATGATGGGCTCAGGTGTGGTGGGGATTGTGAGGCTGTGCAGGACCGGGCAGTGTTTCATTTTGTTGTATTCATTTGTTGCTATGAATTGGAGCTAACTTGACAGCACCTAACAACAACAACACTGTTTGGCTGAAAAGTGGTCTTTAGGAATTGCTTCAATTCCAGGTCAGAAGGATGTCTTAGGGCCATAATCTATGGGGTTCCTCCAGTCTCTATAAGACCAGTAAGTCTGGTCTTTTTTGTGGCATTTGATTTGTTTGTTCTACATTCCCCTCACTGTGCTCCCTCCCTCAACTCTGCTCTGTTTGGGACCCTGTGTTATGTTCCCAGTCAGTGTGGTCATGGTAGCTGCACCATCTAGTTCTTGTCTCAGGATTGTGCAGCCTGTGGTTCATGTGATCCATTAGTCCTTTGGACTATTTTGCTCCCTTAAGGCTTTGGTTTTCTATACTCTCCTTTGTTCCAAACTAGTTGTTGTTGTTATGTGCTTTGGAGTCGGACCCAACTCATAGCAACCCCTCTTTGGGTTTCCGAGGCAGTATCACTAC